AACAAAATAAAATAAAAAATAAAAATAAAATAAAAATAAAAATAAAATAAAAACTTGGAACGAAGGGACGCGCTACGCCCCAACATTTGTTTTGTATTTCCAGCTTCCTTATCTACTCGAGGAAGTGCCTTAGACTACAAGAACAAACAATACCAACGCGATGAGCCCCACTGTCCACCCGGCCATCAACAGGCCGAATCCCACGCCGTAGGTCGTGGTGCGGGGTAGGGCCTTGTTCTCACAGTAGCGAGAGGTGTATGTGCAGGCTGACATTACCCAGCAGACCATCTCGCACAGCAGCGCAGCAGCTAAGAGTCCAACGATGCACCACTTGGAAGTAGAGGACACTGCTACATCTCGGCTCTGCTGCTGGCCACGTTCTTCTTCACGGGAGGAAGCTTCGGCATACGTGCGATTACTGCTCTCTGTGCGACCGTCCATGAGCGCTTTGAAGGAAAAAAATAGCACAGCAGCCATTAGCATAATGGAAAATATCGAAAAAGCTGCGCCTACGCTCAAATGCTGCCCCAATTCATTGCAGGCCAAGAGTTGCGTGCGGTTGGAGTAGCTCACCGTGTCGCATCCGCTCTTGTAGCCCCAAAAGGTGTAACAACCACCGCCAACCACATCCAGTTGAGAAAGTGTCGTTGCCAGAATCATAAAAAAACAATTGACTCCACACACGACAAGGAAGATGCTGAGAAACGTTGTGCCCCCAAGGTGAGAGGTCAGCACACCAACGGCGTGCATGCAATGAGCCACCCGATCTAGCGCATTCCTGCTCTTCCCATTGGCAGTGCTGTGGTTCGACGACGGCACCACGCCTGCTCCAGCAACGTGCTGGCCCACGGTTTGCAGGGTATTTCCAGTGGCTTTGACATACCTGTCATGGTCTGATGTGACGAAATACCGTTCACGGCCTCCACCAACATGGGGTTGGGGAAACCAGCGTTCGCGTGCCTCGTCGGGCCACTCACCGCCTTGCACCGCCGCCGCCGCAAGTGCAGCGGGACCTGACATCTCTGATTCTTTCCCACACGCACCTCCTTTCCCACCTCTGCAGAGCCTCTCACTGCCTTATTTGCCACCTGCACTACACAACATCAAACGGAGCCACAGAGAACATACAACCAAAGCAAAAACAAAAAAAAGAGGAAGAAATGCGACACCAAACACAAAGCACAGGTGGGCACAGTGGAGATGGGAAGTCCCCACGGTGCGGGGCACAACAGGGGAGTTTGAAAAATACCCCAGAAAGCCACAAACTGCTCTGCTACTTCAGTCTGTGTTGCCCCGAAGGCCACGAGAAGTACCATGAACACAAGACCATGTGCAAAACCCTACACCACCCACAGAAACAAAAAGAAAAAAAGAGACAGCA